CACACACACACACACACACACACACACACACACACACACACACACACACACAGGAAAGCAGCAGCCTTTGACTCCATCCAAACTTCACATACAGCAGATTCAATCCCAATATAAAACTTCTGGGAAAAAAAGGCACATTTTAGTGAAGTGTATATTCCCAGATGGATAAAAAGCCCTCAGTAGTCTCCCAGCACGGAGCAGAGCTCACCATTGAAGCCAGAGGCATGTCAAAGGTAACAAAAACCATCCTAATCCTTCAGAGGGGCTCATGGACTGCAGCCCACCCCTCAGGCCAGCTGCTGCTCTCACTCAGCGTCTCCTCCTCCTCATCAGCGCTCACGTTTCAGACCTCAGCAGCTCTGCCTCCTTTGTTTCCCTTCAAACTCCTGATTTAGTCCTGAAACCTTCTGTTCCAGCTGAGCCGGCCCGGTTCTGGCTCGGCCGGGCTGAGGTGTCCACTTCTGTCACTCACTCAGTCCGCCGCGAGTCGTCCTCTCTGCTGGCATTTCTTCCAGACTTTGGGCTGAAGTCAAGSCCACCAGCAGGATCCTGCCTCATTGTGTTGGCCCGGAAAGGGGCGGGGCAGGAGGAGGTCCATCTGAAGGCGGGGGCGGAGTCAGGGTGATGGTGTGCAGGGAGTTCCCTGCTTCAGACCCTGCTGCTGGTGAGGAGGAAGTAAACCAGCTGCTCTGCTGGTAAAACCAAGACGCTTCCAGTTCTTCAGGTCTTCCTCACAGCTGAACTTATCATTTTTCACAACACATCCTTTCACAGCCACAACACTTTGTTCTGTGCACAGCCTGTTTTGCTTAGAAGTCATTAAACAATGCCAGGCCAGACGGCAAAAACACGGAAAGAATTTCCACCGAGTTGGCCAAACGGGAAATCTCCATTGTTGACTTGTTTCAGCACATTATTAGTCTGCTGAAACACAAGAGATAAGCTGAAGAAAGCACACATCTGGCCCTGCAGCAGCCYAACAGTCTGAAACCTCTCCAGAGTCCAGGACTGGAGATTAAAAGCAGTCTATCAGCAGATAATGAGTCAGAACCACAAAGACTGAAGACATTATGTTTCTGCTAATAACTCTGTCTCCATGTCTGCTGCACTCGTTGTGTTTACAAGGTCTCTGCGTGAACCTGTCAGTCAGAGCGGAGGGCAGCGATGTCCTCAGCTGTCAGTCTGAAACAAGCTTCACTCCAGGTCTCAGACCAGGCGTGGGACGGTATGAAATTATGACCGTATGATAACCTTGGGCAAAAATATCACGGTTTTGTGGTATGACGGTATTATGATTACAGCTCTAAAAATTTTGTTTTGAAATTTGTTTTTAAAGGAGACCAATTATGGGTCTTAGAAATGTTTATGGTATGTCTGTGGGCTATCCAGACCATGTT